CAAAGTTGGGAGATACCCTCAAGAATTCAAATACTTCTAGAGAGGTTTTTTTCTAGAGATTCCACAAGTCTGAAAATATAACCTAGTGGATGGAGAATATGTTCTATTTCTCATCCTGACCTTGCCACTGACATACAGCATAACCTTGAGAAAATAATTTCTCTTGTATTCCTCCTCTAACACTTCCTTGACTTTGTGCATTTAGACTCCAAGCAATTCATCTTGATTTGTGCTTATATAGCACCTAGCCCAATAATATGCTTGGACAATATAGACAGGAGACTGCAAAGCAGCTCAAAACCCAGGGGTTTTCCAACCAGTCCCAGGGCTGCTCACCTGCACCGTGCCCACCTTCCCCAAACTTACACTTATGTAAAGCCAATACAGAAAGTGTTCTGCTCTCTGTATCAAGACACCCTGCCAAGGATCCTGTTAATTATTTCGTGGGGTTTTTTTCCTCCCTGAGGTGCCATTCTATTAGAAAGCACGTAATTACAGCCTGAGGAACACTGCCACTTCACATTAGCTACACAGGGAATTCCTCAGAACATTTAAGTGGTGGGTTGTACTTTACAAAATAGCCTAAATCTGAAGCTGCAGAAGCCATGCTTTTACAAACGTTCAGCTGTAGCTCTGCTGCAGGCCTCTGACTCAACAGGATCCTTCCTCACAGCAGTGAGAACCCTTATAATTAAGCTCTGACATTTTCAGTAGCAGAGAGAAAGAAAAAGACAGGTATCATATTGGGCCAAAACACAATTAAAAAAATAACTTTTTTTAAAAAGGCAAATGGATTCTCAAATGGTCACAAGAACAACAAAACCACGATGGATCATCAGGTAGAGGTAGTTCATGTAAAAATGCAACAGAATTTAGCCAGTTCTGCTTCTTACAGACAGGCAGTTGTAATGGGAATTGCTGTGCTTCTGCAGGCCCTGCTCCATATTAGCTGCATATTTAGAACAGTAAATAAAACATGTTTGTCTATTTTTGGCTTGCTTTCTGGAACCTGTATCTACAACCTTCCTCGCTGTGTTGCAGGAGAAAAAAAGTTCTTTACTTTTGATATATGAAATTAACTTTTGTTCACTCTGCAATCATTATGTTGATGCAACTTCTCTCTTATAAAGCCTGTTAATTAATCAGTGATGTTCATTTAATTCCAAATTAAACAGCCTGCTGTAATCATTCTGCATTGCCCTCTAACTTAGAATTAAAAAAAAAAAACTCCACAAGACAGTGTCACTGCATTTCTCTTTCAAGTTTAACAAGCAGAACTATGCACAACAACATTCCAGCAGCATTTTTGTTCGCTGTTTGCAGAAGATTAGGGAGTTGAAGCAAGGCTTCTTAATCTCAAATTGCTGCATTGTGATACTACATACAAGACAAATTTAACTGACCAGGAAAGAGAAGTGAGCTTGCAATATAGCAAAGAGGGGAAAAAAGAACCAGGAAACAGAAAAGATCTCATTTTGCAACAGTCAGAACTTCATAGTGTTTTTAGAAGGACCATCCTCATTCCATTTGGCTTCTAAAATAATCTGCTATAGCAGATTAATAAATGCAGCTCACTTTCTACCTCTGCAGGTCTCTTCATGAGGTATCTGCAGAGCTGTCCAGTTTTGCAGAACCATCCTGCTGCACTGAAAAGCAGAAAGGTCCAATGGCTGTAACTGGGGCTCAGGGGTCAGTATGGTCTGTCCTCCTGAGAATCTCTGTCTAGGTGGAAAGCCTTCTCTGGTATCTTTGGGTTTGTACTGACTGGGGCCTAAAAACTAAAGCAAAGAAATTCTCCTTCCTTACAAAATGCAGATAGATCCTAAATTCTTGTGTGTGAGCAACTGGCCACTAGGATATTGTATTTTGAGGAGACATGGCATCTTGTCAGAAAAAAAGTAGAGCACTGCAGCAAGCTGACCATGGTGAGAAGGAGCTTGATAGTTCAGCCCACACTGTCTTAGGCTGAACTAGAAAGCTCTTCTTGAACCTCAGCAGCCTGGGACATGGCAGACCAAGGCCAAAAATCAAATTCAAATCCCTGCTTGGTCACTAGGGTCAGTCTGAGAAAGATTCCCAATGTCACACTTGTCAGTGTTATTATCCACCTTACTGGCCGACATTTTCACTTACCTCTGACTGTTGTCCCAGTGAAAGATTAAACGGACAGTAGCGGCATGTCCCCAGCTTTCTCCTGGGTGACACAAAATGACAGGCCATTTTATTTATCTCTTATAAAAGCAGTATCATCAGTAAACTGAACTGAAATTAGACCAGTCTTCCAAAAAAACCCTCACGATTAAAACATATATACCTTCCTTGTAGAAATGAATCACATCTTTTTCATGTGTGCAAGGATTTCACAACTACTTTATCAAATATACTGAGGCAATTAATAACCTCTGTCCTCACAGTGTGTTTTATAGAAAGCTTGATGCAAGACTTCTATATTTGTAGAAAGATATTATATATACCTAATAAAGGACAGATACTAGACAAATCTTGAAAACAGAGGGAGCATGAAGAAAAGACTTTTCTAATTACAACCGAAGAAATCTAGTGAGTATGTCTAAATCCTACTTCAAAATTGCAATATTCTGTCTCTCAGGCATAATTACGAGCAAACATCGCTCCCTTTGGGATACAACCTTGGGGAGAAAGTCAATGATTATTAAAGTATTAAGGGCCCCTGAAGCAGTCTTCTGCTTCTGACAGCAAAATGCAAAAGAACACAACTGAAAACAAGGGGCAGGGTGGAAAGAGAGAAGGAAGTTTGGATTGCTATCCTATTTCAGCAGAAACAGTCTTACTGTTGTAGTTCACACCTGAGCACGAGCTCAATCAATTTATAGACAGTTTTATTGGGTGTTTTCCTCTGTTTATCCCAGGAGACAGTTGGTAGTCCAAAGATAGATTGCATTTTAAAACAGTCATTTTGGTGAAGCGCTGCAAGCCTCAAATATTCACCTGTACACAGCCCTGTAGCTTCTGAATCACCTGCTGGTCTCCATCATGTCACCAGCCCCACATGCCCCACGTGCTCTGGTGTTCATTATGGCACAGAGAAGAAGAAAAACTCAATTCAACTGTAATGAAGACCTAGACCCTCTAGGCATCTTGCCAGACCTTGCTCCACTGTATCTAAGTTGAGATTAAAGATTTTGGCTATCAGATACAGTCCTGAGTCAGAGATCAAAGCACATTTTACAGCGGGTACAAATTCTGCACCAGAATGCTTCCATCTGTATTGAATATGAGAGAAAAATGCTACTGTAAAATGAGATATTTCTGAGTTAAACTCGCTGTAGATTAATATTTGACCTCCTTTCTAAATATATCCAGTAGAAATGTCTAGGAACACCCAGCTCAGCTATTACTAGTAGGAAAGAAAGCTGTCCCCTTCATAAAGCTCTTAACTTAATACCTTGCAGGCTCTGTGCTTTTTTTTTTCATAATTAAGAACTTTCCTTCCGCTAGGAAGCTGAGTAAGAGTTTAGAGATTAATGCTATTGTGAAATCTTAGAAAAGGCTGTTTCTAAGGCTTACCAATCAAGGGGGAAAAAACCTATTTAGGGGAGGTAATAGGATTGATTTTACTTGGGGTTTTGCTGCTGACCCCTCCATCAGTAGTGCCTTTGGCTACAACCAACCATGGAGGAGTAGGAGCTTCTTTAGTCTTTACGATTAAACTGTTTGAAATAGCATCCCTTCAGAGTGGGTCATAAAAACCACCTTCTAATCCACCAGCTCAATACTTGCACTGAGTCTATGGAATAAATTCACATTTTTGTACCATTCTGAAATGCTCAACTTGAGATATCGCTGTTTAGGGTGAGGGGAATATCTCTTAGCTCAAGTATTTTACCAACTGGTACAAACATTCATTTTTGCAGGAGTACCCACTACTCAGTTTAACAATACGATGTGGTTACACACACATTCTGCTGAGAGTCACAATCAGTTTATGGTCAATATGAGGTTATGTCAAATTAAATGTTTGTAAAAGAAAATATGTGCAAGATAATACACTGTATCTTTGAATTCTAACCTCCTCTGAATGGCTCCACACTCTTTACTGTCCCTATGACTCAATAAACACAACAGCTCTCAAACAACGCTGGCTATGAAAAAAAGACAGCATCTATTAGCTTTATTTGAGTTTGTAGCCAGAAAGGCTGCCAAAAATAATACACCAGAGAGCAAGAGGCAAAAATGACAAAAAGGGTCAGAATCCGGAAGCTGAGTCTTTATCTGCATGCACAGCTCAAGATTCCACATTCCTCACATTCTCGAAGGAGATGGTCTGTATTTGTTCATTTTATCTTACATCTGTGTCAAATGGTTCAATGCCTGTACAGACACTGAGAATATCTTTGCCTTTGTACTGTCCCCATCTTCTCCCACCCCTCCAGAACAAGAGAATCATTACTCAGTTCACAGAAAATGAAGCTGAGGACAGAAAATTTGTGCCCTTTACGTGCATCGTAAAATTATATAAAGTTACAACCTGAATTAAGATTTAAACACTGAACTTTTTCTTAATTTATCAAAATCTCTACTTCAGAAGAACTGCTCTGTTTTCCCCTGTGACTGCAGCAGAAGAGTCTATATGAGGCACTCTGCCCATTAAAGGGCAACATTGAGTAGCCCGTAAAAAAACACTTAAACTCACTTTGGGCAGGTTGTAGTTGAGGATCCAACATAGAACTTCCCTCTACATCACAACTGTAGAGAGAAACAGCTAGAGAGTTCCAGCTGTGCAGCAAATACATGACACCTCTGCAAATAATTAAGGGAATGTGTGCAAATGTAATGGCAAAACAGAACAACTCAAACTGTTTTGGAGAGGCACTGAATATTTCTCAGGGAATTTAGGAAACTGCAGCGTAGTTTGAGGTGTGCAACCATTAAGCTGTGTTCTTCTATCAGGGCTTTAACCTGTTCATCACCACATTTCTGCTAGAGGTTTACTGCCCCCAGGCTCATCCCTATTTTTTTTGTATGATCATTCATCAGCCAATTTCAGTTTAAATTACTTGATTTATCAGAGGTTTACTTATTATTTAAATAACTCAAGTTTACCTGGACCACTTTTGGCAGAAATGGATTGAGAGAGGATCATATAAACAGCTCAGCCAGCATACAGGATGCAGCAGTGACCTCCAGCAGAGGTAGTGGCCTCCTTAGCTGACACAGCTGCAGCTGGAATAGAGGTAACTCCACAGCCTGAGATCCTCAGGGAAAGGCTGCAACACATTAGCTGCACATCTAAAAACCTAGTTACTCAGAGAGTTCTTAATATCTAGTGCTACCACATAAAGGGTGATTCAGTCATCTTAAGGAATACAGATACATCTAATATCAAGTTTAGCATTAAAAATTTTGGTTTAAAAAGGAAAAAAAAAATCCAACAACACTCTCAATCTGTGAGTTTCTGCAATCTGAAAATGTCATGACTTTTAAAAATATTTGTAATCCCTTTTCAAAAATCTAACCAGGCTTCTAATCTGCACACCATGTTTGAGTTTAGAATAAAATTTGATAGTTGCTAAGTATAATCACAAGGCTGACATAGATAAGCACTACTGTAGAGTTCCACAATGCTAGCAGATCCAGATGGGTCTAATATTTTCACCATGGATTCTGCTACAATGCAGAAATTCAGCAAATAATTTTATTTTCTTTGTACATGATGCCAAAAGAAAGTCAGTCATATATTTGAATTAATTCAATTTTCAATTCACGATCTAAACACCTACCTAAAGCAGGTACCAATGTGGACTGGCTTTGTCCAATCCTTGTTGTCATTTGGTTTGTCAAAACTACCTAAAAGAAGAAACAAACAAGAAAATCTCCAGAAAAGAAGCATCCTGGTGGGAGGCAAGAGAAGGGTTTTTCAAAAAGCTTTTACCAATAAAGTAATTACTCAGGCAAAACTCTTGCCAACTGTAATGAAGCTTCCATGTTAAGAAGAAAAAACTGTAGAGTTGCCTCATCTTTTCTCAATAGTCAAAACAAAATAAGAGAACTCTGCAAAACACATTGTCACTTTGCATAGAAGGTAGATTTCTTTCATTCAAGACTTTGAAGAAGCTTAAAATTTTCCCTTCCCAAGGGATGCAAACTCTCCACAACTTGTGTATTCCTCCATATTTGTACTAAATACTGCTTGGATCTGTATTTAGGTGCATGACTTGTACTAGCCCTCTAAAAAGAGATAGATGTCAATCACTGTGGCATAAATGAACTTGGTGGTGCTGCTCAAAGCACACAAAAGCTTAGTGATTAACAGAATTTCTGCACCTTGTAGTCTAAAAATGCGCAAGTGGGTACAATACAAAGCAGAATGAAAGTGAACAGACAGAGCGGGGGAGTGTTTTCGCAGCACAAATCACTCGTAGGAGGTTCACAGACAGTCTAGGTTAGATCCCTGGTAGAAGTGGGGGTGGGTGAGACAGAAAAGAGCCAGGAATATTAATTGCAAACTTCATTAAATATGAAAAATAAAGAATTGTACCTATCTTAAACCCCAGGGGTTTTCACTGTTTGATGTGCTTGTATGATTCTTGCTTGAACAATTAGAAAAGTGTGCTAGAGAAAGCAATTTTACTGAGCACACAGGGCACACACCAAACCACTTACATAGCTGAAAGCCCCAAGACGTATATTGCGTATTTTAGAGAAGTAACTCATCATATATGGATGATAACAGCTTCAAATAGGCTCCCCATCTCACTGCTGGAGAAGGGCTGCTCCAGGCATCCTGGCACAACCCTCTGAGTTCAGCTTCAGAAACTAAAGGAACTTACTTCCCACCATGCTGGAGCATTCAGACTGCCCAGCTTTGCTGCCCGACAAGCACTCTCTGGCACGCAAGCTGAATTTAGACTGCTTGCAAACAACATGGAACTAACTCAAAAACTAACAAGAGGGCCACTCTGAGCTAAATAATTTCCGAAGCTCTGTGATTGATCACTTCTTTAGCAAGTGTTTGTTCAGCAAGCGTTTGTACTAAACTGCTCACTTGTTCAACAGAAGTAAGTTATATATGTTTCCCTTGCTCAAAGAAAAAATGGACTATACAATGAGAACTGCTCCTGTTCAAGGTCACCAGGTACCCAGTTTATAAGTGAAAGCACTCAGTAAACTGAAGGCTGTGTAAATCAAGCAGTCATATAACATTCATCTTCCTTGGTGCCCGCACCAGCAGGAAGAAGCTTCATCATTCACGTCAGGGCAAGAGAGAGAGAGAGGATATGCTTTCAGCAAGGAGCCCAACCGCCCAGCCCAGGCAGAATGCAGAGCTGTGCTCTTTCCCCTCCTGCAGCTATCAGAGGAAGCACAAGGGGAGGCTTATTTTTAGCAATTTGGAACAAAAGCCAATTGCGCAAGAGAGTTGCAGATGACAAGGTTGCAAGTCACCTGGAAACAGTTACAGGGACAAGCACCATTTTGAGACTGTGTAAGCTCTAATTCCTGAACAATGCTTTTCTGTGCTGTAAGACTTGCCAAAACAACTTCTGGAACAGATGTAGCTTCTGAGTGCCATCTGCTGGCTACTCGGCCACAGATTTGCTGGCCTCCATATTGGCGTAAATGACGTAGAAACAATGTCCAGGAAGGAAGCAATGGGTTTTGGTGGATGCCAGAACAGCAAGCCAAACTAGCAGATAAAGTGCTTTTCCTCCCTAAGAATAGTTCCTTCGCTAAAGCAGTAGTTTATTTTTAAACAAAGAGTGGAAAATTATGTTGGAGGTGCTAAATGTATTTTAATGCACATGCTTTGTAGGTAAAAGTCACCAAAGGAGCAGTCCAACTAAGTCATTAAAGAAGATGATATGAAACAGTGTGACAAATTGATAGGCTACCATTTAATTAAGATACATGGGATGCTTTTAATGCACATTCTACTTATTTTGGCAAGTCTAGAAATTTTCTGCCTAAACAGTTTTGTCTGTGCAATCCATTTATATTTACTAACCAAACCGGCAAACAGGAACGTAGAGGCCATTTATTCTGCAATTTACAGACAATGGCAAATCACATTTGTTTAATTCTTTGTAAGGTATTTATTCCAAAGTAGCATCTTTTGCCATTTAAACCTGTGGCAAACTCACCGCCGATTTATGATCGTTTGCCAGAATGATCAGCTGTTGTGCCAAACCGTTCAAAAGCCTCGTGCGAAGCGAGAGGTCCTCGAAGTCGTGGCGAAAAGGAAATGCAATGCCATCAATCACCACCAGTCGGACCTAAATGCAGAAGAAAAGGAAAAACTACCATTACTGTCCTACATACACGTGATAAAAAGCAGTAAGATCTCTTTTTAAATGCACTGGAATGTTTTCTATAAGGTGATGACAATCTTATTTCTAATCAGATGTGCGTGACAGGATAACACCTATTCTTGCTCTATATATATCGGAGACAATCAGCACCCCACAGGAATGCAGAATAAAGAGCCCCAAGCTCCCAACACACTAGTGCAGTAGCTAAGTGCAGTACTGCATTATGCACAGACACGAGCTCACACCATCGCTGCACGAGCTTAAACCAAATGCTGCACTAAGCCCTCCCATCCGTTAGCTCAGCACAGAGCTACTCTTCTGAGTGTTTCCAGTTTCAGAGCTCGCTCACTTACAGCTACCTGACTTATCTCTGCAGCACCTGGTACAGAATACAAAATAACAAAGCTGGACTTAAAGCTTTGCAGGAAAGAAGCTGGAGAAAAAAAAAAAATCATTAAACATCAGAATTGTACTTCAATCAACTCTCCACAAACACTAATTTATTTCACCTTCTCTCTCAAAAAATAAAACCCAGACCAAAACTAGAATTACATGCTGACTGCAGTCACTATTAAAATAACTCATCTGATTCTCAGGGTCATTATCAGTGATCTATCTTAGAAAAATGGATTTTAACAGATGCTTAAAGATATTCCAGACAGACACTGTGCAACGGAGCTGAGTATCTTGCCTGAAGATGTTTGCTTTGCTGAATTATTTCTTTTGTAGCAATCATTAGCTGAAGCTACAGCTACGCTGCTGCTGGCTCATCACCCTCAAGACACTATATAAACATTAGTCTGAGATTTTGATTTATTCTGACTTCATTTGTTGTAGCTGTTTTGATGACCCAAGTTTGTCTGAAATACAGAAGGGAGATGGATAGTCTTACAGCGTCTGCATGTTCAGATGCCACTCACATCCTAACTATCTACAGGTTCTTGCATTAATGCACAAGATAACAAATGGAAAACAACACAAGAAAAGTGATTTTCTGTATTATTGATTTAACTCATTACTGGGAAGTCACTTTGTGACTGGAACATAAAAGCCAGCAGCAAACATCACTCTGTGAAATGGCCCTGGGCCTCCAAGTGAAAAAAAAAAATCTTAATTTGAAAAAGGAGATGAAATAGAATTTGAAAAATAAGATATTCTTCTGTTTTCTCATTTTTCCTCCTCCCTGCAAATTCTTTTCTATGCATAATTTTTTGACTTTAAGAACAGTCAGTTTAACAGTATAAACATGACTCATGCTAGCAAGGAACGTATACGTAGTTACATAACTTGCCTATCGGATTAATATGTCCAGGTAGGATCCAATTTAGTTTCTTTTCTCCCAGTTACAAGTGTTATCAAATAGCAAACAAGTGGACTTAAAAGTATTCAAAAGGAGGCTCTGTAAAGCTTGGTAACACATGCCTTCTTCATGGCAGTTTGTCTCTACTAGAGCTTAAAGAATCAGGTTTATTATAACAAGAATATTTTCTAACATAGTCTTTTTCATACCATTGGTCTTTCTCATTTTATTAACAAGGCCTCACACTAATTCATATTCCCAAAGGACACTCTCTACAACTGTGTATCTCTCAAAAAAAGCCTAAAACCTGGAGGTTTCCTGTGGTCCCAGTCTCAGCTCCAGGTCTGCATGTAGGGATCAGACTAATTTCAATGAGAGCTGGATTGCACTGAGCAATCTGTCGAGTCACTTAGAGCCTGTCCAAGGAATCACCGGAAGGTCTTACAGTTCTCCTGCAACCTTCAGTATTTCAGGCTCCAGGCCAAGCTCAGATAATCAGCACAGATGGCACCAGAGAACTGCAGCCCAATGTAACTGTGCTAATGAAGCCATGTACTTTCCACAAGAGCAAACACAACAGGGCACCGTTAGTACCTGGCAGAGAAAGGGAAATACCAGAGCACACTAAGCAGAAGTAAGACTCCCATCTGCGCTTTCAAGAACATAACAGCTTCCAAAAATGGAAATGATATTCAAAAGACAATCTAACCAAACAACACTGATTTGTGCTCTATTAGAATGAGGCACAAGTCATCCTCCCTGAATCCTGTTAGGGAGTGATCTGCTGTACAGAATCTAGAAATCTGGAAGGGAGGTGGTGAAAGTCTGCCTTACAGTAGCATTTCATCAAGACACCGGGTACTAGGAAACTTTTTGGCTGTAGTCCACCCAAGAGTCAAGCTGTAGGCTCTGGTTGCTTGTAGCAACAGAAGATGTATTGGAAAGAAGAAGAGTCACTTTCTGGATGCCAAGATGGTGCAGGATGCTTCTGGAGCTCAGTGAGTCTTCTAGGACAAAAAAAAATGGCACTAAGCCTTTCTGATCCCCCTGCCTCATGGTCATCACATGCACATCTGGCTCAGAGACTCTTTTGTAAAGCAGTTTCATGATGATTCAGAACTCAATGCTCATAGAAATGTAACATGTGGCAACATAGATCCAGTATCATCGCCTCAAAGTGGAGATTCAGGATTATGGCAGCAGTGGCAGCAAAAGCAAATTACTCTCAAGAGACAAAACAAACGAGCAAGTGAGCTTTACATTTGTACTCTGGCATCAGCCAATACGTTACTGTCAAGCTGATGAGGTACTGAGGTGTTACTCTTGTTACTCTTATTATACCAGATCAGTATCCCTGAAAATCTTTACTGTGAAGATGAGTCATATCTTTTGGAATGTCTGCAAGAATCCTTACCTTTGAATGCTCTGAAAGAAAGTCTGGGAGGAGGTAGACCTGTGCAAGAAGCTCCACGTAGTCACGGCAACGGAAGTAATATATGTGAGAAAGGATATTTTCAAGAGAGAAAGTCTCCAAAGCTTTTACATGATCTGAGAACAAATAAACAGATGAGTAAATGAGTCAGAAGTCTGTATTAAAGCATATTGCTACTTTCCTCATTCTACCAAACTATGCCTTCCACATATAGCAACAGCAAAACTCCCAGAAACAAACAGTCAAGGTAAAGAGTGTGGGAAACATACCTTCCATCTGGCTTAGAAGTCAAGAAGGTGGTGAGCAGCTGCTCTCTCAGCATTTGCACATAGACACACCGGAGCCTCCAAGGGAGTGCTCAAAAAATGAAAAATTTATTTCCAAAAAAAGAACTTTTCCAGTAAATCATTTTCAAGCCAGAACACCACCAGAGGACAACAGTGACTATTAATCATCCATTGTTTAATGTACAGGCAGTAGCTCATTTAATATGGTGTCCTTTTACCTCAGTTCAAACAGAAGTTTGTTGCAGAAAATGCTCTAAGAGTAATATAAAAATTGTGTCTGATTTACAGAATAAAACTCTTTATTGAGTGCAACTTGGCTGTATTGACCTTAGGAATGAGCTGAATTCCAGCTACAGGTTTACAATATGGGGATCCAGCAGCTTTTAGAAATTCTGACTTTTCTCTTTCCCCAGCTGCTCTTCCTGCCCCTGCATTGCAGCACATTATCCTTCACTTTTTCTGACAGAGTTGTGTTTGGGTTTTGCTGTAAATTTGATCATTAAAGTGATCTATGTTAAACAAACAAAAAAATACCCAACACATACCTAAAAAAAACCACAAATCATCATGTAAAAAAAATATTTATTGTTAAAGCAGTAGTTAAAAACTACTTTACGGTGAGGGTGACAGAGCACTGGAACAGGCTGCCCAGGGAGGGTGTGGGGTCTCCTTCTCTGGAGACATTCAAGACCCACCTGGACGCCTTCCTGTGTGATCTCATTGAGGTTCCTGCTCTGGCAGGGGGATTGGACTGGATGAACTTTCGAGGTCCCTTCCAATCCCCAACATTCTGTGATTCTGTGATTAAAGCAGATCAGCTGAGGCTGCAGCATGGCTCCACACAGCAGTTCGGGGTATAACACATACAGATGGAAATGGAAAGCTGGCAGCAAGAACTCCTTGAGCCAGCAGTGCCACTGAAACCCTCAAACTGAAACTGCAGCCTAAGAAACACTCATTTTGCTCAGGTCCTGGCCTACTGGGCAGAAAGAAACAACTTTGCAACGTACCTTCTTCTTGATGAGCTTCAGCAATAAGCTGGCAATGCTGCACACAGGCAGTGGCAATATCCACTACTCTGTCTACCATAAAACTTCCTTCGGTATCAATGAACACGGCTTCTCCAGCTACGCCTCCAAAACATTCTGGGATCTGCACATCCACCGCCAACTGCATACTGCCATGGGAAAGGGAAAAAGAGAGAAATATTTATATCACAAAGCTCTCCCCTCCCAACTCACTCCTAAAATGACATTTCTGCTGAGGAACACAAAGAACAGGCAGCAGTATGGCTGTTATCATGATTATATTTATAATGCTGTAGAAGAATCAGAGATTGATTCATGCCAGTCAACAAAAATGAACTCTCTTCATAGTTAAATTAAACAAAGAAAAGTGATTCTCAGTTGCACAAAAGTAAACTAAAAATAAAATACCATAGCTGTGTTTTCCCAACACCAGGAGCTCCACAGATCTCGGTGATTTTTGTTAGTTGCACACCACCTCCCAAAATATTGTCCAATGCTGAACAAAAAGTGATGATGAAGCCCTGGGCTTGTTCTTCTTCCAGAAGTTCCAGTGCTGTGCACTTTCTGGTGGCACCTGATCCCCCAGCAGTTCTTGCTGCATCCCCGGGACATTGCTGCCTCACAACCTGTAACACTTCCAGTGCCTCTTCTTTGGAGATTCCAATTTCTAGAAGAGTCAAAGCCACGAAACACCACCTTATTTCTATAAACTATGATTTATTTAAAGTATGAAGATATAGTTCAACTTGTTTGACGGAACCTGGTTGTTCTACAGTGTAACACAAAAATATGACTCCTTTGAGTGTACTGATACACAAAGCTTGCCAACACCTGTGGAACTAACAACGTGATCTTCAAAGGAACCAAGAGCAATGATGCCCTGTATCCAGAACTCAGGTGACAGCAAGTGATATACAAATAAAAAACATATCAAAACTGCTGTTTATAGACGTGCAGATCTGGCAGAGCTATTCACTGATAAGCACTGAATGTGCTACCATGTTAATTTAATTTTAAGCAAATAAGGTCCCATAAAAGAAGTCAGGTTGCAGACTCGTAAGTGACAGTGACACCAACTGATCGTACTCTGAATTCTCAGAGTATTGCAGGGTTGAGCACCTCACACGTTATGTTTAGATCTGAAAGACAGACTGAGTAGCAGAAATGAGACACCCACCGATATCTCTGTCTATCTGCATACACACATATCTGTCAGGATCCAGCGACTTCACTTTGATCTTCAAGGCAGAACTTGGAGATCCCCAAATTATCACAGATAAAACTACTGATGGTCAAAATCCCGATGCGCTGCTTACAACGGCTGTGCAAATTCTTTTAGCTTATTGAAAAGGGCAATTTTCTGACTTCACAGAGGTTTATTCTGATTAAAGCAGATACAGTTGGGGATAGAAAGGGAACTAAAGCGACAGGATCCTCTGGTTGTTCCTTTCCCGTATCCCACTTACATCTCTCACTCGGTGTAAGGATCTTTTACCACAATCCTGGTGGTTTTGGTTTGTTTGGTTTTTTTTTTCCTTTGCTCAGGCACCTGCGAGTCAGTAAATATTCACTTTGCCCATCTCTCTGGACTCACCGGAGGTCTCGGTGGGATTCCTCAGGGCAGCTGCCCCGAGCTGAGCGCGGCAGGGCGGATCGAGTCCCGCATCTGCCCGAGCTGCTCACCCGCACCAACCGCTTCAAGGAGCGAA